TGAAAATCCGGCATGCGCGTGACGTCACAGCAATTGTGAACAAATTTAGCCGATTGAGCAATCCTGTAGAGTTTAGGATTCTTGATCAAAATCGTTTTAAAAATCATAGCTAAAATTCCGCTATACACCGCACGCCTATGACCTCCGTCAGAAATAAACAAATAAAATAAAATTTCGGCGCTCCTGCCGTTTAATGACAGCGTTATGACAAAATGGTATCCCCTGATGGCGGCCTGCGCAGAAAAGATGCGCGTGAGAGTTAGCCTGCTGATTGTTTTTGTATATGCTGTGGTGTAGCTAGTGAGCCCGTTCCAAGAATCGTAAACTCTACAGGATTGCTTAATCCCATAAGACAAACGTTCATAAAAACATCGAAGATGGCGGTATCCGAATGACGTCACGCAGTCCTTGATCGGTTTGTGTTTTTTATGACAGTGCACTATCCTTGCATTTTCAAACGTGAAAAATTGTTATTTTGAGGTTATTTCCTTTGAAAACTGTATTTTGTAATTAATTTATTGATTTTAAAATTAGCAGACTTCAAAAGCTTGTGTTGATCCTTGAGGCTTGAGTGGTTGGCTAATTAGAAAAACGAGTTTGTTTGCTTTTGTTTATCAATTAGCCAAAAATATTGCCAAAAAGTCAAAAAAACGAAGGGCTGGAGTCAAGCTGGCCCCCGGATTCGTTTCAATGTTTTTTTTGTGTATGAAAATGAGCACAATTCGCATAAATACTGGCACAATTGAGCACAAAACGGGCACAATTGACTACAGAGTTAAGAAACAGTAGAAAACCAAATGTGGGGTGCCGAGCCGGTTTAATTTTTGCATTTCAATATCAAAATACCTATAAGCGAAACGGGGTTGCAATAGTGTGCTTTATTTTTTACTGACCCTACCTAGGTACTTCTCAATTATTATTCATTAATTTAATAGGTACTAGAACGATTTAATATGGACATTCAAAGTGAGCTTATTTCACCAAAGCCAAATAGTGATACCTAATTTAGATTCTCATAATCATATTCCAGAAAAACATTGCTTTTCCCATATTTTCCATGCGTTTTCATAGTAAACGCGCCAGTAAAGGAATTTATTTACATATTTATTTATTCACTCTTCACAAACCCTAATTTTTATTAGTAATTACATGCAAAGGAAACTTACAACTAAGTAGATATTTGATTTATAAAAAAAAAGCAAAACAAATGCTTGACTAGAAAATACTAACTAGCAATAGTAGCAATACACACAAATAAAAGAGCGATGTCCTGATACAACAAATCCAGTATTATAAAACCAGAAAATGCTTGGGGTTTTCGCGAGAATTTTCAGCCACGAGTCTTTTATGCTTACACACATTAAATGAAACTTTAAATTTACACTTGTAACACTAGCACACAGCGGCCATCTTGAAAATCCGGCATGCGCGTGACGTGACAGCAATTGTGAACAAATTTAGCCGATTGAGCAATCCTGTAGAGTTTACGATTCTTGAGCCCGTTCTACAATAGGAAAAATCGGGTGTCCCATTTTTAATGCTCACAACTGTACCTGTGATGCAAACACCCTACGTCAAGTCGAGGAATGACACGCTGCCTAGGTCATCACTGGTTCTTTGGCGTGGTAGGGAGCTTGAGATTTGATCTACGTAGGCCTTATAAGGATAAACTATCCTGTAGTAGTACTTAGTGTGTATTATCCTTGGTGCGAATGGTCCAAAGCGGCGCGAGAATCAGCGCCATTTTGTTTGCCAGATATGTTATTTATTGAAACATTTGCCGTCGGCGCTATTACCCCCATTTTGTTTACCTATAAAAAATTCAAGGGGGGGGGCAAGCAGTGTATGCCCTATGTCAAATTTGTCATGCCCTATCACAAATTTGACTCTAGCTACGGCCCTGTTGCACAAGACGAGGCAAAATGTACCAAATTATGTTAGACTTACGTATAGAAATCCGTCCTTCTTATTTGCACGGGATAAAAAGGGAAGAAGAAAAACCGCGTGTTGTGCAACGTATTTGTCAATGAAAATGTCAAACAACTTTTGAATGACATTTGCCAAGTTGAATATCAACTTTAGATTTATTCTTGCCAGACCACGTGCAATGAACAAGGACAAAGAGATGTCCAGCGTGCAAAACGATCACAACACATCTGTATTGGCTAGCCAATAAAAAGAAATTGCCTCGTGTTGCGCGCGCATAACAGGTAAAAATAGATAGGTCTATTCCCTAATAACACCGATTCGCCAGAAACATCCCATTTATGTACCATTAAGGTCCTTATGTTTCCGACATAAATGGTACATCGCTGCGATGTTTGTAATGTAACATCTCTAGGATGATTGTCCTGAAATGTTTTAGAAACATCCTTTCGAAAATATCTATCGACAAAAAGATTTTTTGTTCTCAAAATTAGATACTTATTACATCTAAAAAATGGCTAACATTATTTTACAAAACTAGGTAGGACCTCAGACCGGTAGGACCCAGTATTAAATTTGCCAATTTTGCGTGATTTCTGAAAATGTCTCTATCACGCACACAAACTAATTTCAAATTCCATAATATACCTGTAATGTATAAAGATAAGGTACTTAATATTAATTTTGTATTGTAACAACAGCAAAAATTAATTTTTCATTCGACTTACAACTTGGAATAAAATAAAATATGTATTGATAAAAGTCTTAGTCTTCTCTCTTTTCAACTTTCAAACATCGTGAATATTCGTGAAGCCGAAGTGTATGGCGCAGGCGCGTGCTCGGGCATTTGTACTTGTATCGGTCAGGACAGGAGAAGAGGGCACGACGCTACGTCGGCGCCGCAGCCAGCGCAGACGGGCAGAATCAGTCGAACGGGTCGTTCTGTGTGCTTCGCTTGTGTTGTTGGGCGGAATTTTATTTCGTAATGGCGTCGTGCCGTGTGGAGGATTTGTCAATTGTGGTTTTTCGCTACACCTAGCTGTGCCATTTTGTGTTCGAAAGGATCTCTGCGACCTACCAGTGCTTATTAGTTGGTGAGAAAAATTATTTGTTGAAAGATAACGTCGCATAATTATCAATTGTTTAGTTTATTTAAATTCAATATGGCGTCGGTTAGGAAATTTCTAATTTTTTTGATAAATAGCCTCTAAAAACCCGAACTTCATTCTTCATTAGGTAAGACAAAATAACCAATAATTATTTTTTGTTTTCATAGTTGATTACATTCTAGGTGTGCAAGTTGAATTGTACTTCAAGAACTTTGGACTTTGGTTCTGTGGTTGTTTTGGTTAGTCAATGGCACCTTTATGAAATTAGTATCTTTAAAAAAAAAAACAGATTTTAATATCAACATTTTATTTATGCGAATTGAACTTTCTATTTTTGAACGTAAGGCACCCAAATATAGTTCTATTTAAAGCCATTTCATTGAAATCGTCAAATTTGTACGATAGATGGAATGGGTGATGTATATTTTTTTGCTTGCATGTGATTGCGCTTTCTCGATGCCATCGCGAAAGTGCATTCTTTTAGAATAAGTAAAATAACTGTGGCAATACCACTAAATGTTATCATTTTTGTTAGAAGAAAATAAAGAGATTGTTAAATAAACCACTCAAACTCTACTACTCAAAAAAATTAAAAAGAAAATATTCTTATGGTTGAAAAAAATTCTGAACACTAAAATAAAATTACAGAAATCAGATTTTATTAAATTAAAAGTTCTGGCATAATTTCAACCATTTGAAAAAGAAGTGAATTTTTTTCTTATTTTCCACGTTAAAACTCTAATTGGGAAAGTGCAATCATATGTTGATTGCATTTTACCGCTACATAATGATTGCATTTACCCAAGGTACACATTTAATAGGGTAAGTGCAATCATATAAATAAATAAAAGGCCTAATACAATAATCGATTATATCATTAAAAACAATTTTTAGCAATGTTATTCATAGTTAATTCCATTGAAATAATTGCCTTACCTTTATTTTATTTTCTGTAGATCACATTTCAAGAAACACTTGTTGAGCGAAAATGCAGCCGGTTTTGATGTTAAGACAAATATCATGTTGTCAATTTTTTAAGTTGTGTCTATTATGACGCGCATTTGTGACAGGTCTTCAATTTAACAGAACTCGAAGAAATGGCAATGCTATCGATAATCTATAGTGGGTTTGGGAGACAAGATAATGAATGATTGCAATTACCCCAGAAATGCACTTGCCCCACCTTACTATACAGCAAGAAACTATAGAAAACTTAACAGGAGGGTGCAAAATTCTAGCAGGCACTGCATATACAGAACGGCATAAATCATAGAAGAAAACAAAGCATATTATCACTATACAGCTGAAAATATTATTGAAAACCAAAGCTGCAAACTATATTACGATCTTACAATTCACATGGATAAAACAATCTCTGCTAATAGACCAGACATAACACTTATAGAAACTAAAAAAATAACCTATCTCATTGACATATCCATACCAACAGATGTTAATGTAGGAAAAAAATATAGTGCAAACATTGAAAAATATACCCCGCTTGCGATCGAACTACAAAGAATATGGAATCAAAATCATATATACATCATTGCATTCATAATTTCTACCACAGGGATCACCCATATAAAATGAATGCAACATCTTAAGGATCTTAGCTTTAGCTTGAACGAGTTAATATTATCATTAAGTCCAGAAGGCGGTTATTCTTAAAACACGCAACATTGTAAGATTATTCTTGAGACAATAGTACTCTGTGTTCAAACTTGGGATTTTATACCCGTTTGAACAGAAAATAGCCGGATATAAAGAGCCGAGTAATAAAACAAACATAATAATAATAATAATAATATACAGAAATTTATACTCTGTAAAGTTGTGTAACTTTTTGATCATTTTCACTACAACACTTAGATTGCTTCAGGGAAAATAAAAGATAATCTTATAGGAAGGTTACATAAATATATTTTGCAATTCTTTATCCTAGGTAGGTACCTATAAATAAACAACAATAAATACACAATATGAAGAGGTATAAAGCGGAGTTTTTGGTATTTGAAGGAAAAATGACAATTAAAAATTACGAGTACATATTTTAATAATAAATAATCCTAGCAAAAATTTTACATTTGTTCGTTTAATCTTAAGTTTAAAATATATTACAATTATTATAAAAGAAACGTTACGTATATATATAGTAAGAGGAAAAATAACTAAAAGTATAGTTAATTATTCGTTTTCTTGTGTCTTAAAGATTTACTCGAGTAATTGGCTGTGATTGGCTGTAGATCATAATTATGTCATTTTTTCAAATATAGCTAGAGTTCAACCAATTACAGCACATCGCAATAGTGACTCTATTACACTTTAAAGCAACATAAGCCCTTCTTGAAAAAGCAGAATTTATCACACACACTATTCACTGAAATTTATTTTCTGATAAATGAGTTTCAAAACAGCATAAATATTCACAAGCCTTAGGACTCTAACATTATAAAAAATATACATACAATTTTTGTAAATATAAAGCCAAAATTTCTGTTTTCGAATTAAATAATAAATAAATTATTATTATGTCTTTCGAATTATTCACTGGAATTTATTTTCTGATAAATGAGTTTCAAAACAGCATAAATATTCACAAGCCTTAAGACTCTAACATTATAAAAAATATGCATACAATTTGTGTAAATGTAAAGCCAAAATTTCTGTTTTCGAATTAAATAATAAATAAATTATTATTATGTCTTTCGAATTATTCGCTTTCGAATCCTCTCTTCTTCCTTTTAATTCTAGCATAAGGCCCAACATCTGGATCCATCACGAAATCGTAGAGTACCTGAGACCAGCTCTGGTGTTGGGGTAGATTGTCATAGAATTCTGGAGCGATTCTTTTAACCTTGAATGGGAAACATAATTTTTATATGCATATTGTATTAAAAAACAAATAAAAAGACACTTAGAATAAATGAATAAACGAGCTTGAAATGAGCCAGATAAACGTGAAAAATTGATTTAGTTACATGTTAAGTTGCATTTTTTGATTATTTAGCTAAAAAAAACAAGACTAAATATATGCATATTCATCAGTTTTTGTTCATCATGTAAAAACTCAAAGTTAAGGTCTCACCTAACAAATCACAACAATAGCAACTTTTTTCTTTCTAGTAAACAATGTGAAAATAAATGCTCGGACACGTTCGAAATATACCAGGTTACAAGACATATTTTCAATTTTTAAAACTGCTACAACTAGAAAAATATCTGATTTGTATTTCAGGAATAACTTAATGTTTCTTATCAAAATCCTTTATCTTAATCCGTTTTTAAATAAGTTTATCATTTATAGTATATTTTATGAGAATGCAATACATCAAGGTCCAATTTCAGCTAAAAACTCAAGGGATGCATACTGTGTCTTTTGCAATTCTAGAAAAATTAAATTCTTACCTCTGGAAGTAAAGACCCAGGCACGGCCGGAAAATCATGATGCTCATTATGATAACCTACGTTGAAAGTTATAAAATTCAGTGGGCCGTAATAACTGTAGGTTTCATAGCCTTTTTTGAACATGTAATGCTCCGAAATAAAGTGACCCGCCACTGGATGTAGACCCATAGCCATTATGGAACCATAGATTAGGTATCCAAGCATTCTCCAACCTATATCAATAATTGTATTTTTGAAAGTTACATATTTTCCTAATAGAAAATCAGAATTGTACTGTAAGATTTGGTGAAGTGGAATGCACTTATAATGGAAAGTAAGTACGTTATTAGAAATAAAAGTTCTTCATTTTCATAACATGCCAAAGGACTATGAGGTACCTACTTCTGAAATCTGGAATAAAATGATGACAATCACTTGCAGTTTTCTTGTGTTTGAGAAATGTAAACAAAATATTCATTTATACACTATTTAAGGTTCATGAAAAGTGTTTTGCGCAGATATTTGAGTGGTAATGAGACTAAAAATTCCACCATCTCAAATGAGAAAATTAATAATACAAATTATTGAACATTTCTTCAACTAATTGAAATCCATATAACAAACTTCTTTTATACTGGACTATTTAACTTGATACCCTTAATTTCATTATAAGCGAGTTCCACTGTATTTTTCTTAAAAAGTGGTTCTTACCAAATAAATACACAACTATAGCATCAAAAGCCACCTGAATTGCTGTATTTATAAGTTCCAAATTCGTCAAAGGTTTAGGGTATGTTACCAGGGGCCTAAACGAATAAAAGAATGGCTGTAGCATTACCCAAATAAATTTACCAAAGGTTGTACAGAATAATTTCGCTTCTAAAGCAGTCGGTATATCTGTGTCTTTTTGTTCGTCACCTTGGTACTAAAAAATATATAATTCTATTAATTTTTGCCTCAGTATTTGAGTCTTAAGCTACAAACTCACAAGTGGAATAAGGTTTGATTATTTAATAAACGAAAATCATCTTGTGAGATCGCACCTCTAGTGTATACTTCAAGTTACCCTGTGATGTTCCAAGTGATATTTTTTAAAACTAATCGAGATCGGTATTCCGATAGGTAAATTAGCAAAAAACCCAAATAGTCTATTGTGCATCGGCCTGGCATATCCGAAAGCCACATTGTGCGATATTTCGTGAATTGCTGAAAATAATGGTGTTAAAAGCAGATTTAAAAATATAGTCTAGATACTTACCCAACATTAAAGAGTGATTTATTACTCCGCCCAAACAATAAGCAACTAGTAACAATACTGGCCACGATCTGTCCCTTAATATGTACATGAGAAAAAATTGTGTGAATACCATACCAGTGACTACCCATTTGAAATTTGGATCATGGCCGAAGAGTTTTTTAATTTGCGGATATTTTTCTGAAAAATAAAATTATCTTTGAGTTTAGCAATATGTATAATTCAAACTTTAATTAACTTTAGTTAGTTACTATTGAACTTTTGCAATAAATCCATACTTAATAATAATTTTTTTCATTTAACTATACAGGGTGGACCATATAAAACAACCACCAACCAGCAGGAAAATTATAACATTGGATTTTACCACTCAAAGTTATAAGAAATGGAAGATTAGAAGGGTTCAAAATAGCAGCAAAGAGGCATTTCTGACGTTTTTGACTTCGATGACTCCAAGGAATGAAACTTGGAACCAAATTTGCGAAGATCAACTCTACTGTAGAATTCTACAGTGGTCTGTAAAATTCTCCATTCTACAATGTAATGCTACAGCAGATAATTAAAAAATTGTAGCATACTGCAAGTCAATAATCTTGTGTGTATTTTTTCAATAAACTCATGATAAATTTTGATTGACTTAAATTCCCATAATTACTTAAGGATGCCTATTGAATTGTTGTACAATACAAGCAAAGCAAATAAATCAATCTGCATTAATTTAAAATGCTGGATTTCAAATATACCTAAATGTTGTTATAAGGACATGAAATTGTACCTATTTATATCTGAGTGGATATCAACAAGTATGATTTTATATGTTGAAACGCTTCAAGATCAACGTAATTTTGGAATGAAGTAAGGGTCGAAATCCTTTTCAAATAATTTGGCTTTTTCAATTAATGAAGCAGGGATGTCAAAAATCATGATTTTAGAAAAAAAAATCAAAAAATCAGATGTTTTGATTTAAATTAGATTTTTTTGAATTAAATGAGTTTATTAATATTTGGCCAATTATTGTATCACAGTTTTGAAAATTGAAAGGCGCAGTACATATTACTTACTACAAGGAAGTATAGGATAACACTAGTAAGAGAAAACAAATTGTTCTTCTCAGAGGTTTGTAAGCTATTTGGTGCTCAGTTTCACATCATATTGAAAGACATTGATTGTTATATAAAGGACTGCACAAGTGCATAGACAATGATTATTTTGTGGTTCTGGTAGGTCCAGGAATTACGAGTTGTTCAAACAAGTTTTTAACGCTGTTATCTAACAAGTGATTCTTTACAAAGTTGATAATATGTTCCACCCCAATAAATAGCTTGTCAAAAACTTTTTCTTCAACGAACAAAGAAATTCATACCATTTTCCTTAAATTGTAGGACCTAAATAACAATATTAGAGTCATGACTTCGAACAATTTTTTTCTGACTTCATCTTGTTTAGGGCGTAATAAAGAGTATTAACGAAACAATCGAAAACTTTTCCCTAGCCACCAGCAAATCTTCCAATACTTCCAACCTAATCCATATTGAATTGAATACAGTTTAGCATTAATAGTTATAATTTTCATTATGATATGATAGTATTAGTAATAGCAGTAGTTTCACTTGTGAGAGTCCTTCTTCTCTTGAGGATCTAGTTTATGTAGAGATGACTTTGTCAAACGGAAATACTGTAGTTCTGTTCCAACCGACATGAGAACCGTTCCAAGGGTCGTATTTTCATACGAAATGTGATACGATTTCGTATGCTCCCTATTTAATTTACATTGCTGTCAAATTTCGTGTACGAAATGTACTCGAATGAATTCGAAAATACGACCTCAGAACTTGACAAATGAATGGCATATAATATTGACAGTTGAATTGAAGAGGGCGCTTCTGTACTTGGGAGTTCTTTAAATTTTGGCGCGTGAATAATTGAATGTAATTTTAACCTCAAAAGTCTTTGAAAATATTCTGAAAGAGCGTTTTGGAAGATATTTCAACTTATTTGCTGTTCATTGTTCATATGTAGTCATCTTTCCTTTTACTTATTGAAACGGTTTAAAACTATTGACATTTACCGCCAAAATTCAAAGCACTCGCGCCCTCTACAAAATTTTGGGAAACTTAACTGGATATTTGCTGCCATTGATCGACTGGAAATTACCGTTCTAGAACGGTTCTCATGTCGGTTGGAACAGAGCTAAATGAATCATATTAGCTCATTTGAAATTGATAAGTATTGTAGTTTCAACAAATAGAAATATTATAATAACCGTCAGCTAATTGTCTATTGGGGGAAAAGCCGTCAGTCAGCCGATAGAAAATTTCGCGCGTCGTATAATTGCATGAGCGCGCTCATACATTTGTATAATTGCATGAGCGCGCTCATACATTTTCGCCCCGACTGACGGTCTTACCCCCACTAGACAGGCAGCTGACGGTCATTATTATATTTCTATATATGTATGAAATCATGTGTAAAAATTTCAAGCGAGATGAAATAATTTGAAATTCATATTTTTTTGTCAAGTTCACGCGCTCGACTGACGCACCATCCCCCTCTGCCGCACGGCTGACGGTCTTTTTCTGTTGCTAATTGTTATAAATAATGTGTGTAAACAATTTCAGCTGAGATGAAATAACTTTAGAAAACTTTTTTTTTCACGAGTTCCGCAGCCTCCCACGCGCCCACCCACCGATGGTATTGAGGCTGACGGTCGGTTTCGTCATTAGGAATGTGACTACAATGCACGGTATTAATCTCAGCCGTGATGGAATTCTTCGAAAAAAAAGCCGCTGCCTCCCGGACTATATGTACAGGTTCTTTCCCCATATACAGGGTGGTCCTTCGGGAATGACATCGATTGCTTATGGGAAAACTGTGAAAGGTAAAAATTTGAAAATTTGGCAACATAGCAATGTCGATGGGGGACATCTAGGTAAAATATTTTCAAGATGGCGGCATTTCCGGTCATACCGGAAGTTGATACCAACTCGGTTATTTTAAATAGAACACCCCATATATTAATGTATTTTTGGATTCTACATAAAATTCTGAGCAGATTTCATGTAATATACCCTATACCTAAGTTCAACTGTTTTGGAAATATTGACAGTTGAAAATTGACTTTTTGCAACTTTGACAGGCTGTAAAACCTGAACAATTAATTTTAGAGGAAACCCGATTTGACATTCCTATCTTAGATTTTTATAAACTATCATTTGACATCAACTTTGAATTAAATCCATGATTAAAAATTTCAGTTAAATTTAATCTCCGTTTAAGTTCAAAGTTGGTGTCAAATGATAGTTTATCAAAATCTAAGATAGGAATGTGAAATCGGTTTTCCTCTAAAATTAACCAATTAGGTTTTACAGCTTGTCAAAGTTGCAAAAAGTCAATTTTCAACTGTCAATATTTCCAAAACAGTTGAACTTAGGTATAGGGTATATTACATGAAATCTGCTCAGAATTTTATGTAGAATCCAAAAATACATTAATATATGGGGTGTTCTATTTAAAATAACCGAGTTGGTATCAACTTCCGGTATGACCGGAAATGCCGCCATCTTGAAAATATTTTACCTGGATGTCCCCCATCGACATTGCTATGTTGCCAAATTTTCAAATTTTTACCTTTCACAGTTTTCCCATAAGCAATCGATGTCATTCCCGGAGGACCACCCGGTATTGACCCCAAGACTACAAGGGTTATGAGAAGAGATATCAAAAAATTCTAAATACAAAAGTTTTGGGGTTTCACCTGAAATTTTTGAATCTGATGTCAAAAACTTTTTGTTTTTTTAGAAATGTCAAATGTTGACAGATGGTCAGTTTCTTCTTATAGAACACCCTATATATGACTTTATAGTTGAAAAGAGTCGATTTTTCTGATTTCAAATATACAGTGTCATTACTTAAGTGTGCAACATATGGGATTTTTTTTCAGTAATAGCACAATCAAAATACAAACAAGGCCAAAAGTTGTGTGGTGCATGTCTGATAATCATATGAAGTGCACTTAGAATGGTTGCAAGTCAAACAGCATACAGGGTAGCTCAAAAAATATCAAAATTGTAGAAATATTTACTTAAATAAAATAAAACTTTTGCACTTTAAGGAGAGTTTTTTTAATATTGCTATTATCATTAGGAATGTTTTAACTTGTTAAAAAAAAAAATTGCGACATTTTAAAGTTGTGTTGAATATCATTGCAACAAACATGAATTTTGTGATTCCATAAAAAATTAAAAATCTAAGTTAATTTTACAAATATGCTTGACTTTGAACAAAGTTATGTAAAATTGATTTGATTTTAATTAATTTATGAAAGTATTAAGGGCGGAAATAAAAAATAAAAAAAATATAGAAATTATAGATTTTTTTCGAACAAAAAAAAATTTTTTTTTAGGAGGCTATGTTTTGGTATTTAGGCATAACTTTTAATTCCAAACAACTTTTCTCTATACCATTTTGCTGAATTTTTTAAAATAAGGGTACTTTACAGTACAGCTTTGATATTGTTTGAGCTACCTTGTATGCTGTTTGACTTGCAACCATTCTAAGTGCACCTAATATGATTATCAGATATGCACCAACTTTTGGCCTTGTTTGTATTTGGGTTGTGCTTTTACTAAAAAAATTTCCCATATGTTGCACACTTAAAAAATCACACTGTATATGGTTTAACTAGGTACTTTTAATTGAGCCATTTTGGAAATATCGGGGTCTAAACTTCAAGAAAATAATACATTGAAATACATCCAGCTCTGTTCCAACCGGCATGAGAACCGTTCTAGAATGGTAATTTCCAGTCGCTCAGTTCATTTGCCAATTATTGAAACACACGTTCAACTTATTGAAAAATAGTTGGGCGACTGGAAATTAGCATTCTAGAAGAGTTCTCATGTCGATTGGAACAGAGCTTATGTCTTTCAATGCATTATTTTCTTGAAGTTTAGACCGCGATATTTTCAAAACGGCTTGATTAAAAGTAGTAAAATATATATATATATTTGAAATCAGAAAAATCGACTCTTTTCATAAGTGTTCTATAAGAAACTGACCATCTGTCAAAATTTGACATTTCTAAAAAAAAACAAAAAGGTGTTTGACATCGGATTCAAAAATTTCAGGTAAAACCCCAAAACTTTTGTAAGTTTTTTTTTTTTTTAAAGATAATTCCCCAA